TGAGGGGCTCGGCTCCGGCTTTTTCGTTGGTCAAAGGCTTTTTGAGTTTTAGAGTTCAGGGTTTAGGGTGTAGGACTTTGGGTTTAGGGTTTAGGGTTTTGGGTTTAGGGGTTTGGGTTTCGGGGTTTAGGTTTTAGGGGTTTAGGGTTTTGGGGTTTAGGGTTGAAGGGTTTAGGGTTTAGGGTTCAGGGCACCATTGTGGGGGTTCCTTGTTATACATATAAAGTATAGTATAAGATACATCTCTTTTCCTTTGGGTTAAAGGGTGTTGTGTGGCGGAGAGGGCTTTACGAAGGGTTGGTACAGTAGGTTGTTAGGTTTTATGTGCTGTAGTCGGCTTTCTAAGCATTTTCAGTCTCTGGCTGCTGTACGGGCTGGCTCTGAGGTCATTGTACTGATGGGCCCTGATGGGGTTAGAACTGGGATCCTCGTAAAGGCTGCTGAAGGTGCAGAGGGTGAGCTTTACATTCTTTTTTGGTGCTTAGAGTTTAGCTTCGATTCTCTGTGTGCACGGACTCTGTTTTACTTGCAGCAAGAGGAGGCATAGGCCCTTGTAATCGTTCATTGTGTCGCGTGTAGGATTTCGGGTCAGAGCTTACGGCTGGTGCAAAACTCAAGCAGCAACTTGCTCGGCGACGAGTGTGGAGCAGATGATGATCCCAGGAGAAGGCCGTGCGTATGAAAGACGGAAGCAGAAGTGACAACTCCTGATTCCGGGTATTGGCTATCGGTCTTCTGCTCTCCCTTACAAGTTCGCACCGGCGCCAGTCATCTGCATCGCCTAAACCTCAATCTGACTTCCAAGGTAAGTTTGGCGACCTTCAGGCACCGGGGGGTTTTGGACGTAAGGCCGAAGCTAAAGAAAGCTTGGAGGTCCTAAGCTTGGGGGTTGGAGGATTCCAGACTTAAGGTATAGAGCTAGTATAAGGGGCTTGAATATTTGATTACCAACGCTGTTTTTTGGTTCTTCTTATTTGATTTATAGTATAACGGACGCCAAACCCCTACTCCAGGTGTTAAGGCCCCTAAGGGTCCTTGGGTCTCGGGCTAGAACATGCGAACGTGCGGAGGTTGTCAAAATTTTAAGGTTGAGTGGAAGCTCGGCCCCTTTGAGATGTCGGTAAAATTTCAGTTTCAAACTCAAGGACCTTTTTGAGAGCTTCCGGTTTGGCGACGTGAACTGCTCCTTGGAGGAGCTTCCTGTCGGGTTTTGACACCTACGAGTCAATAGAATAGTCCTCTTAAAACCCCTTATATCTAAAAAGACCCTCAGCCCTACGCTACACCTTAAACCCCAAAGCCATAGCAGCCATGAGGGCTCGCATTGCAACGATCTGGGGTTTAAGGAGGTGTCAGGTTAGGTTGGTTCAAGGCTGCTGGGATTCTTGGCCAGGCTCGTAGCTCAGTCAACGATCAAGTTAAGGGTTTAGGGTTTACGCGTTTAGGGTTTAGGGGTTTAGGGTTTAAGGGTTTAGGTCTTAGGTTTAGGGCTTATAGGGGTCCTACCCGGCATCTTATCTATTACACTTCTGCTGCCTCCCAAGTGGTGTCTCTAATTCCTGTACCCCCTGCACCCTAAACCCCAAAGCCTCACGATCCGAAACGCTGAAAACAATGGTGCTCCAAACCCTTACCCAAAGGTTGCCATGTACCTATATAGTATGCGCGTCTATCTGTCTATCTATCTTTCCATTTATCTGTCTGTCTCTCTATCTATCTATCTATCTATCGATGTATCTATCTATATCTATCGATCTACCTATCTATCGATCTACCTATCTATCTATCTATCCACCCATCTTTGTGATCAGACAGGGCCTTCAAAAGAACCCCTTCAAAGCCTAAGTATACCGTCTATAGGTGCCTGGGCCCTTACGCTAAACCATCACGTCCGCTTGGCGCGAAGCCTCGCGCCGTTTCTTCCAGGTGTGCTACCATCCTGACGATCTGCCCCAAGACCCGCCAGGGAAGCTTGGATGAGGGGCCTTGCCCGACCCCTGGGGTTTCTGTAGGCTTTCTTACAAGGGTTCTAGGCTATTCTAAATGGGGCTCCGGAGGTTCATTTTTGTAATTCGTTGATTATGAGGGTTCAAGACGAGTTTCCACGGGGGTTGATAAGCTCTTGTGCCTTTAACATAGACGTCTCAAGAACTAGTCATCCCGTCACCTCGGGCGCACCGCGCCACAGTGGGAGCCGTGGATGGACCGGGCGCGCTCGCAGCAGCTCATGGGGCTTACCTTTGTTTCTGAAGTCACACATTCTGAATACATCTGAAGACTACGGTTTAGGGTTTAGGGGGTCTGAAGACGAAGATTGGAAGTAGCAGTCGACACATTCGGCCAAGGAAAGCGAGTAACTGTGCCTTCGCGTTCCATTGGCTGCTGCTATACTTGGAGCCGGATCTCAAAGACGGGAGGTCCGATGTTCTGAAGTAGAGCTTGGGTGACAGGACCTTAAGGTATATATATATATATACAATATAGATACATAGTATACATATATAATATAAATGTATAATATAAATATATTATATAAATATGTGTATATAAATATATATATGTGTGTGTATATATATATATATATCAACGACCTCAAGGTTGGGTGTGAAAGGATGATTCCTCGTCGTGGTTGAGGATCTCGTAGCGCTTTTTTCCTCTGCTGGTGACGCCGGCAGTGCTGGTGAGGGAAAGAGCGTTCCCATCTTCCCAGCCCGGAGGTCGGCTGGGGGCGACGATGGCACGGAGCTTCGGAGGACGCATCCGCCAGGGCAAAAGAGGCTTTTGGCTTTCGGAACCCCTTTGAGCTGCGGGGTTTTGGAATGAAGCAGACACAAACTCCTGCAGAGACAGAAAGAGAGAGAGAGAGAGAGAGAGAGAGAGTTTGAGTTTAGGGTATCCAGCCGTGGAAGCAGCAGCAATAGACACTGACATGCACTGTATCTAAATACCAGTAGCACCTCCTTTATAGTTCATGCCTGCAGGCAGGGGCTCGCATGTGAGTGTATATATGTGTGCGTGTGTATAATCTGTATAGCCTGGTTTTATAATACATCTACACATATATTGTGCTATTTGCTGTTTTTTGGTGTAATTTTTTTGGTATTCGTCAGCATGGACTTGTGCGAAGTTCAGGGCTTCGTGCCGAACGCCGAAACGCAAGTTTCGAAACACCCCAGACAGAATTTCAATCTGATGCGCCGTAACTTGGGTACGGCCCCCCAACACAGTAACGGTCTAGATTAGGACTACTATTACGAGCCTCTTATATCCATATTATGAATATCCTATATCCTAGACGCTCATGCACCTAAGACAACCCTAACTATACACTGCGGCGACAGGAGGCGTGCGATGGAGCAATTGGAGATGTTGCCACTGAGCGCTCCCAGGCCCAGCTGTGCACGGCTTTCGGGATGTGGACGCCGTCCCCAAAGGGTCCTACGATTGATGATATAAATCCTGCATACCATAATTCCCATAGTTTAGGGTCCTGAAGGTAATGCAGGATTTATATCATCCACAGTAGTACCTACTTTCTACCATGGGTTCTTAAAGTAGGAGTTGCTATTGCGGTCCGGGGAAGTATCCCCATGGGCATCAGCAATTGGCATGCTCAGGGGTTGGGGGTTCAGGGTCCAAGATGTAGGTCTTTAGAGGCTTCCATACAGAGACCATACTCTGGTTCCAGACAGACATGGTCAGGTGTACAACGGCCGACCTTGATTTCTTACAGCCGCTTAGCCTCGTTTTGAACCTCCAAGCAACCGGTTTTTTTTAGCATGAAGGCTAGACCCTAAACCCTAAACCTTAAACCCTAAACCCTAAACCTTAAACCCTAAACCCTAAACCTTAGACCCTAAACCCTAAACCTTAGACCCTAAACCCTAAAATTGAAGAATGAAATGCAAGCTGCGAGGCGCACGAAGTCCTTTTGCGTCGCTATGAGAGGTGTCGCAATCCTGACACCTGTGCGTAGCCGGTTGGCTTTGCCTAGGCAGAAAAGAAGACCCAACCCTCGAGAGGAAAACGGCCGCAGAGGAACTGCACCTGAGCAAATCGATCTGTTGGGCTGGTTTTCGGGACGAAAATCCACACCGGTGGAGGCTCTGAAGGAAAACAGGGTGACCTCACACGCGGCGCTCTAAAAGTGGAGCGTCCAAGAAGCTGACAAGAGCTTCGAAACAGCATTGCTGTCTCAGTCGGAGAATTGCGGGTTCAAACAGGCCTTAGGGGACCGAGGCAGCCTAGCGGGACAGGGTTACTAGGAACAACCTTAACGCCAACCAGGGGCATATGCTGTAAAGATTCGTAAAGCAAACAGATGCGACAACGCTGTGGCTCAGCGCCCATGCGGTTGTTGCACCCTGGCCATGAGGCGTGGAAGCGAGTAACCTGTGGTACAATCTCGGCACGGACGGTAGGACCTGATGCTTTGAGGATTGCGGGTGCGGCCCTGCACACAGCCCCGATCAGCATGCCATACTTCACCACTCGAGCTCAAGTGCACATACAGGTTCGGCGAGACACGATGCTCAAACGGAATCCCGGCATCACTGGGGATTGCTGAAGGAGCAGGCATTGAAGGGAACCTGGAGGGAGGTGCAGGCACAGTGAACGCGGTTGGATTGGCGCTGAAGGAGGGTCGCGACAAGTCAGTCTGGACCTCAGCCGACACCTGGGGTAATTCGCTTAGCGAGTGGCCCCGGCGATCTGCAACCTGATCAGTCTGAATTGCCGCATCCACAAGTACGGGCTGCCACACTTGGGTTTGCACTTCGGAGTTGGAAACGGGCGAACTTGAGGTCGTGGTCTGGGAAGCAGTATGGTCAATGGGGCGCTCGACAGTTTGCGTGGTTCGCTCCTGAAGGACCAGCCGTCGAGGAACCCAAGTCCAAGGAACCAAGAGGCATCTTGCAAGGAGGAGTCCAACAAACGTAGTTAACACGGCAAGCCACACATCAAACCACTCCAAACCGGTGGAGGTTTCGACAGAGTCGGGGAGTTTGGGTGAAGAGGCGACGAAAGCACAACCAACTGCCTGCGCACGAGTCAAGGCAAACTCGTTGGCGGAGGCCTGTCGTCGCTCCGGGTCTTTACGTCGTGCAGCCTCGTAGGTGCGGTCGTCTTGCAGACGGTTTCGGTGGGTCCGCAAACGGTTGGCAAGAAGTTGCGAAGCACTCTCCTTAGTCAGTCCGTCAGCCAGCTGACGTTCTGAACTCACCCAGCGAGGGGCCGCATTGGCTTCTGAGAGCTTCTGCTTGGTGACTAACACTTCCACAGCCGTGCGTTTTTCAGCACCCAGCGCTGCCTGAAGCTCATCCTTAGCCAAGAGGTCGTACAGGGCTTTAGCGTCAACGACCAAGGCAGACGGATGCGCCAAGGCTGCGGCACCTGGAGCGGCCAAATCCAAGCCAGGATCCAGGCAACACTTGAGAAACAAGGACGCGTAGTAAACTGCGTCGGCCGCTTCGGCAGCTGCTTGGCTTTCGGCTGAGAGGGTGGATCGCGCAATGCGTGGCAGGCGGAAAGAACGCCAATCCAGAACATGATAAGCGAACGCAACGCCTTGCTCAAGGGCATCCCTGTGACAGAGGGTCACCAGGTATCCACCCTGTGACGAGAGATCTTCCCGATTGGCGAAGGATGCGTCTGAGTAACCCACTACGACTAAATCTTCTAAAGGACCCAAGAATGAATACAACAACCCGACATCGGCATTTTGCTTGGCATACCTCAAGGCCTTGTTGGCAGCCTGGAGTGTAGATACCTTGGCTGAGGAAGTCTGTCCGGAAAGGAAAGAGGTAAGAGGTTGCACATGTGGGGCAGACTGAGTCGCAGCCCACTGGAGGCCTCCAATCAACGCCCTCAGTTTGGTCCGCTCTTTGTCCGTGACTGGCGTAGATGGATTTGCGAGTCTGCCCTTTTCGACAGTGATGGGATGAAGCTTGCTGAGGTATTTGTTCTGGTGATACTTCAAGGTATCGTCGGGCAAGCGGTCAACTTGAGCACCGAGGTATTCCACCGACTCTTCACCTTGGTGCCACTCCCTGAAGGCAAAGGCATCACGCAGCTTCGTGACAACACTGTTGAAGCGATCATCACTTGCATCCCCTATGCACAACAAGTCGTCAACATACATGCCGATCATGGCTACAAGAGTGGGACGACCTTGCTCATCGAGCTTGTTGGGGTCATGATAAAGGAATAAACATCGGTCGAGTGGGTGCCGTCGGAATCCGAGGGACTCGAGACGAGCAGTGGCTTCAGCATACCATGCTCTAGGTGCATCCACTAACCCATACATTGGCTTTCGAAGCCGCATGACGGAGGATGCCGAAGTCACACCCAACATTTTACGAGCATCGGCGGGCAGCCTGATCCATAAGGTACGGGAGCTGTCATGCTCTTTTCCTTGCAGGAACGCAGTAGAGATGTCACCTGTGCACACCTGCCACTTCAGCGTGGCCGCCAAAGAGAGCATGATGTGTCGAGCAAGACGAGTCAGTGTAGGCGACATGCGGTCAACCAGTCCGTTGAGCGCGTCTGGGTCTTTGAAGCCCTGGGTGATAAGGCGTGCTTTCGCACGCGGCGATCCATCAGGATGCTTCGCCCACTTCAGGATGAAGTGTGCCTTCAGCACACGCCCTGCTGGTGCAGATGACTGGTCGTCGAAATGCCAAACCCCATTTTGGAAGAAGCTCTCGAGCTCTTTGCGCTTAGCTTGTTGGAACAATAGCTGGTCACTTAAAGACAGCGTTCTCTCGTCGAGACTGCTGGCCTTCTTCGTGGCGCCAGCTCCTAGATACACCCCTGAGAAGGACTCATGACCTTCACTGACAGCGAAGAACTGCTCCTTCGCTTGCTCCAGGTAGCGAGGCTGGATCTTGAAGGCGGTGCAACCAGTCCAGAAGGCACTGCCCGACGACGACTTTAGGTCACTTCGCCAACGGTCGTCGTGCCTTTGGCGTCCGCGCCAAGTCGAGCGGCCCTTGCTCAACCACTGCACGGGGACCGGGCAGTCACCCGGGGAACGAGGATCAAACAGAGAATCTCGGGCGACATAATGTCGCCGGATAAGGCTGCGACCGCGCCACTCCCACTGATCAAAAACACCATCCAGTGCCATGCCGCCTTGCGCATCGCAGCGCCAACCAGGCGGCAGCGACATAGTGGACTGTTCCAGCACGTCGCAAACGAGCGCGTGTTCCGCCTCCTCGTCTGGCGGTGGCGCATACGGGCCGTGCCGGTACGGCGGGGGGCGAGCGGCACCGTAAAAAGGCACTCGAAAACTGAAGGTCTCTTGCTGGTCGACCCGTGCTCTCCGTTGCGCGAAAGTTTCAGGGACACTGGGAGGCGCAAACGAAGGGTGGAGAGAACTTGTGTCTGGCGCAGACGGCGGAGGGGAGCCGGAAGGCTGCTCAGTTGAACGAGGCTTGGTTGCCGGATGTTCGCGGTTGCTGCCCTCAGCTGTAGTGGGAGAGGCCTGCGGCTGCACCGAGGGAGGAGCTGGGCTGTCTTGCGCGGGTACTGGTGCGGCAGCTGGCTCCTCAGAAGCCATCTCTGAAGGGCTGTAATCGCTGAGGTGGTCTTCAGGGGCTGGCTCGCCTGTCACAGTCGGTTGCACAGGAAACTCAGACGTTGATGCTGCAGGCGGAGGGGCAGGCGCAGCCGAGGAAGGCTGCACGGACTGCTCGACACGACGCATCTTCGGATCAGGCTCAAACGACTCATCTTCTGAGCACAGGTCCTCAAGGGGGCGGCGATTGGAGCGTGGAAGATCTAAGTAGGATGTGGGCCCACGCTTGCGCAAAGCCTCAAGGGCTTGAGCAGGGGCTTGGCCGACAGGCTCTTCAGACAGTAGATCCCTGCGTAGGTGTTCCGGCGCAGCACGGATAAGCTGGGCCCCGCGCACGAGCCAAATCACGCTCTGGCGGCTTTGACGGTCATCGTTTTCAACCATGACGACTGTGGCAGGTCCCTTCCAACGAACCCGAGGCCCTACACCAGAACCATCCCTCCAGTAGAAAACGCGTTGACCCACTTGAAACACAGTTGAGGAAACCCGGCTTTTCCTCAACAGAGCACGCCGAAGTCGCTCATCACTGTCGGCTTCGATCACTGCCTTGCCGGCAGCTGCTCTAAGGTCGAGCTTAGCCTTGAACTCAGCAGTGGGATCAAGGTGTGACGGGTTAAGGCGTTCGCCCAGCAGCAGCCCAGGGAGTTGCGGCTGGTACCCTAAAACCCACTGAGTAGGACTATAACCCCTCACTATGGATGTTTGATTGAGCTGAGGAAGGACCAAATCCAACGCACGCTTGAGGTCATCATGGGTGTGCCCGCCCGTAGAGGCGACAAACACGTCAATGGCCCGACGAAGCACTTGATGCCTGCGTTCAACAAGGGCCAGGCGTTGATGAGCCTACCCGGGACTGACAAGCAGCTCAATGCTGTGCTCGGTAGCCCAATCTCGAGCGGCAGCTGAGCTCCACGAAGGATGTGCATCAACCTGAAGAACCTGCGGGGGACCGAAGAGCCGAATCCACCCACGCTCTACCCCCTGCAGAAACTGTGCTGAGGACTCCGAGGTGATAGGGCGAGCGGAGAGGAATCGAGTCGAGGCATCGAGCATCGCCAGCACCGGTACCGTTGGACCGCCAGGCAGACTGATCCACAGGGTGTCAACTAACAGCCGTTCGTTAAAGGTTTTGGCCGTGCGAAGACCGGACTTCGGAGTCTGATGCGGCGGCGCCAACTGCGCACACACTGGACATTGAAACGCGCGGGCAGCTTCTACCAACACAGCCGAGGCGCCTCGCGACTTAAGCTCGTCCGCGAGCTGCTTCGGAGAGGGGTGCCCAAGGTTGCGATGGAGGCGGCCAATCAAACGTTGGGCTTCGGCCGGTCTCTCTGAGAGCAAACTCGCCAACACACCGGAGTTACGGTGCGCTGGAGCCGGTTCAGCGTCAGGTTGGGGTGTAGAAGCGTCGGCCTCAACGGCCTCAACGTGAGCGAGCCGTGACTCGTCTCCTGCGAGAGCGAACTCCTGGGATGGAGAGTCGAGGGCATAAGGCAAAGCTTCAGACAATGCAGTGGCCAACGCCTCGCACATAACTGGCTGATGAGATGTAGAGGTGAAGGAGTCCGGCGAAGAGCCGATGGCAGTGAAGTGCACTGGATGACCAGGGCAATCAACGGACAAGGCATGGTACAAACACTCGTGCGTGACCTGAAGGCGCGTAGGCTTCTTGAATGGGAGGAGTTGACCGAACTGGTCAGGTAGAGTTACTCCCAGAGCACACTGATGCAAGGTCACTGCCCAGCCTGGCAGATCGGACAAGGCAGGGGTGGACCATGCCTGAGAGGTCAGTGGATGCTCCAAGACAGCCAACATGCCACCGGCGTGCTGAAACGAAAGGTGTCCGAACACAACCGGAGATGTGCACGATGATGTTGCCGACGCTCTATCTCCAAGAGCTCGCGTCGATGTGGATTCAGAGCCGAGAGGCTTCGCGACTGCAACCACGGACGACAGCTGGGGGTCATCCAAACGATGTGCGGACGCTCTTGCTCCAACAAAACGCGAAAAGCTTTCCGATGAGACAAAATGCGGAAATCCCACTCCGGTAAATCAAAGGTTCTAACACAGAAGCCGCGTTTGGCCATGGCCTTGGCAAGGTTGCCAGAGCCCGAATACACTTCCCAGAAAACAGGAGGTGTATCGAGCGTTGTCCACAAAACCTCCTCGAGACATCGATTCATGGCGTTTGTGGCTTGGCGAACCGCCACATCAAGAGACTTGAGAAGCTTCGGGGTGAGGTGGCCAACGGAACCTGCTGGCTCTAACAAGGAAGAGTTGAAACGAGAGGCCGTCGGATCAACTCCAACCTTAGGCGCAGAGTCCTCACATGCATTGGCTACCTCTGGGCCCGGCCGCCCAGTCTCGGAAAGATAATCCCCCATGGACACCAGGGGAACCACATCATGAGAAAAGGCAGTGGCAACTTCGTCTGTCATGAGATCAAAGACCCATGACTGACACATCGAGTCCTCATCCATGCCCTCGTCTAACTGAAGCAAGAACTCTCCCCGATCGCCCAGAATGGCAGTGGTGTATTCGCCCCCAAGGACGGAGCAGCGATCGTTCTCGAAATCCGTCTTCACCTGGAGAGCCTTCAGAACAGGACGACCCATGAGTATCGGAGTGTCCCCTTCGACGATAAATACCTGAAGCCGGCCAGGAGTGCCACGGATGAACACCGGAAGATGCACACTCCAGTTCGCTTTGGCCGAGGCGTCGCCCCCGAACAGAAAGGTCTTAGAGGCGCGGCTAAACTGCACAAGTTCCGGGCGAAGACCTTTGGAGATCAAATGGTTGATTGCATGCATGACGGGACGGTGGCCCCCGAGCATGGCAGAGGCACCACCATCCTGTTGAACAAACAACCCGGAAGAGTCCAACGAGCCAAGGGGTGAGCAGGCCGGATAGGCAGCGCCATTGCAAGAAGGGTAGGCTGGCATAGTGTGGGCACTTGGCTGCGAAGCGAACGAGGCAACCAACCACGAAGAACCCAACAGGAGCAGCAATGGCATCAGAAGAAACACCGACACAGAAGTCCAGAGGTGATGGTAAGCAAGGCGCACAACTCCAGGGCTGGAGCCCAGAGGTGCAGCCACACACAGCGCCGAGTCCAGGCAGGTAGGGCATGAACGCGGAGGAAGGCGCACAACTCCAGAGCCTGAGCTAGGAGGTGCAGCCACGCACGGAGCCAAGTCCAGGCAGGTAGGGCATGAACGCGGAGGAAGGCGCACAACTCCAGAACCTGAGCTAGGAGGTGCTGCCACACACGGGGCCAAGTCCAGGCAGGAAGGGCATGAATGTGGAGGAAGGCGCACAACTCCAGAGCCTGAGTTAGGAGGTGCTGCCACACACGCACAGGGAATCCCGGTAGCCACATGGGCGTAGCCTTCCCGAGGTCGCTTGGCCGAGCTTTGTGAGGAAAGAGGCGGAGGGGTGGAAGCTGGCATAGGGCATTGCGATGCCCAATGGCCAGCCTGTCCACAGCGCAGGCACGTGGTGGACCTAGCACGGGCAACAGCCTGGGAACCTTTAGAGGAAGGGGACTTACCCTTAGACTTACCCCCTTTACTACCCTTAGGCCCCTTAGACCCTTTTCCCTTGAAACCAGAGGTACCCTTAGAGCTACTTGACGGCGCGGCGGCCACAGGCAGCTGCGAATCGGCCCCAGGAACAACGGCAACCACGGGATAGTATCCACGGCTAGCCCGCACGTCAGCAAGACGCCGGCGAGCGTCAAGATATGTGGCATAGGCCTCCTCGAACTGATCATCCTCTTCTCCTTCGTCCCACTGTTCCTCCTCGTAGAAGGCGCTCTCGTCCCAGTGCTCGTCATCCAAGTACGACTGGTCGGCGTCGTCATCGAGGGGAATGGCGCCACCATCCTCCTCGACGAAGTCGTGTCCAGTATAGGCCTCTTCTGCCTCAAAGGCGAGATCCCAATCACCGGTCACATGTGAGTCTTCCTCGGCAGAATAGGAGGTAGCAGGCCGGCGCCACCCTGACGAAGAGTACCCCGCACGGCCAGCGTGACGGGACCACGACTTGGAGAGAGGAGCCCGTACAGCAGAACGATAATCTTGTCCCAAGAGATAATACATCGCCTGCTCAACCTTGTCTGCCTCAAGCTTCGTTCCAGCTTGCGACTGAATGAGCTGACGCTGCTCCTGTGTCAAGCCGGCACGGCGAAGGAGGATCCATGCATCCACCTGTGTCGGGATTACAATCCCATGTTTCTGCACTTCACGCAGAGCGTCGCGATGCTCACCACAGTACTGCAGCAGGGTCTGTTCGGGACGTCTAGAGCCACCATAAAAATACCGATCCAGTGCTTTTGGCATCTCAACGCGCTCATCGTACTGAAAGGCCGTGTCCAAAGCCTTCACAACCTGATCAAAGCCATCTTCTGCATCGGGGGCTGTCTCCGCCAAGTGCTGTACTTGACGCCAGGCAGCGCCTGTCAAGGAAGTAAGCAGGTTGATTGTAGCTTCGGGCAGCTTTTTGTTGAGCTTCGCCTTCTTCTTATAAAGCTGAAGGCGCTGGCGATATTCCTTGTAGCTGGAGGGCTTCCCGTCAAACAGAGGAATAAAACTGTCCTTCAGTACTTCTGTGCCAGAGACCGCTGAAGCACTCTGGGTGGCCATGGCGTCGAGAGGCTAAGCGGACCGACGGAGCAGAGAGGACGGTAGGGAGCACCAGCTCCGCTGCCAGATTGAAGAATGAAATGCAAGCTGCGAGGCGCACGAAGTCCTTTTGCGTCGCTATGAGAGGTGTCGCAATCCTGACACCTGTGCGTAGCCGGTTGGCTTTGCCTAGGCAGAAAAGAAGACCCAACCCTCCAGAGGAAAACGGCCGCAGAGGAACTGCACCTGAGCAAATCGATCTGTTGGGCTGGTTTTCGGGACGAAAATCCACACTAAACCCCAAACCGGAAGGCTGTAATAGCCAGCCTCCGAGTGGGGAGTCTCAAGCGCCAGGAAGTCTTGAGCCTCAGGTATGAGGTTTAGGGCTGCGCGCAGCCCCCTAAACCCCGAAACCCCCAAACGCTTAAACCCCTAAACCCTAAACCCCTAAAACCTTAAACCCCTAAACCCCTAAACCCCCTAAACCCTAAACCCTAAACCCCTAAAACCTTCAACCCCTAAACCCCTAAACCCCTAAGCCCCTATTAACTCTGCGCCTGGCTTTCTGGCCTCGGAGGCTTGGCGCCGAGGCTGCGGCGAGTGTGACTGGGTTTTTGTTAAGGGATTTAGGGTTTAGGGTTTAGGGTTTAATTCAGAATTTTAGGGTTTTAGGGTTTAGGGTTTAATTTAAGTTACCACAATTAAGGAAACCATATTGTTTCCTATAGATCCCTATTACGGTAACTTAAACTAAATCCCTGAACAAGAACCCAGGTGATGCTGACAGTGGGAGATGCTGATTCGGTGTTTCATCACTTCTACTTCGAGGAGAGCTGCGGGGCGGTTTAAAGGGCTTTAGGGCTTTGGGGGTTTAGGGGTTTTGGGCTTTGGGGTTTCCATCACTTCTACTTCGAGGAGAGCTACGGGGCGTTTTTAGAAGCCTAAAGTAATTACCTACCTTAATTCTTTAGGGCTCCCTGACTACATTATACTATGAAGGAGCCCAAATCCCTATTCTAAAAATTAAGGCCCCTACAGTAGGAGTATTACCTGTTGAGGTTGAGTTGAGTGAGTTTCTCCACAAACCCCCAAAGCCAAAGCCTTAGAACCCGAAAGTCCCAAAAAGAAGAGCCCCCGGAGGTTGAGGGTGCTCACTGTTGAACTACTGCTCTACGGCTCCCTGAAACGCCCAAGCCCTATCCCGAACACCCCTCAAGTTTAAGTTTAGGGGTTCCAGCACTGGTAAACCTTAATCCAAGATAGCTTGGCTTCCTATCGCAGTAGTAGAGTCTTGGAGGTTGTTGGTAGCTGATAGCCAGTTCGTGACCCATGGCATTTTGTTGTGGGAGGTTTGCATCCAAAGCTGCAGAAGCTGCACCCTACCTATGTCTCAAGTCCGCCAACCTCGGGCCATCTGCAACCCCATCGCCCACTCATAGCTTCATACCCTGCGTCTAACATAGCGGGTGTTTGAGGAATTGGAGAATGTAGCATGGCAATTATAGTCGCATCCCCCTAGTATTAAGGGGGGGCACTCCACCGAACTTTTGATATTGCTCTTGCCCTTGCTCTTCCTCCTGCTGCTGCGCTTGCTCTTGCTGCTGCTGTTGCTTTTGCGGTTGTTCCTGCTCTTGCTTCTTGCTCTTGCTTTTGCTCTTGCTCCTGCCGTTGCTCCTGCCATCGCTCTTCCTCCAGCTGTTACACCCGCTCTTGCTTCTGCTCTAGTTCCTCCCTCTCCAAAACTGGTTTCAAAAGGCGGTGATGCTTTCAGGAGGATGTTCGGAAAGTGTTGTTTTGATTGTTTTTCGTCAGTAAATGGGAAGTGATTATAGTAAGTCTGCAGAAGTCTTACCGTGCAGCCACAGTCCACTCTGACTCTGGTCAGTCTTTCCAGGAGCTGACACGACAGTTTTCCGCATCTCCGACGAAGCAACACATTTGGCAGTCGCCCATACTCCATGTGCCTGGGCTAGAGTGGCAAAGAGGAAGGACTCTCCGTATGTATGTATGTATGTATGTATGTATGCATGTATGTATGTATGTATGTATGTATGTACGTAGGCATGTAGCTATGTATGTATGTATTTATGTTTGTATGTATGGACGTATTGATGTATGGATGTATGTATGTATGTATGCATGCATGTATGTATGTATGTATGCATGTATTTATGTATGTGTGTATGTGCGTGTGTGTTTGTATGTTTGTTAGTTTGCTTGTTTGGTTTCGTGAGTTTATAGACGTGTGTGCCTGCTTGCGCATAATGTGTATAATATAAGCTGTACAATGAGAATGCAAAACCGAAGCACCATAGACCCTGACCGTCCCAAATAAGAACAGTTTGCATCGGAATCTCGAAAGTGCATGAGCAGTCTTACGATCTCAAGCCAAGAGGTCTTAAAGGTGCAATGCCTCACAAAGGACTCCGATGCAGCTATCGATGGATCCTTGTCCCGGAAGATCCCAATCCGAAGAGCAGTCATGAGCACGCGAGGTCAAGAACTTCGAGTCCTCCCCGGCGCCGGTGAAGGCTTGCGGCTTTGGCATTCGAGGATCTCTCGAAGCTTCAGTATGATGATAATAACAAGTTGTTTAACAATATTGAGAATAATAGTAACAATGGTAACAAGAAGGATAAGGACAATAACAAGGATAGGAATAAGAATCAGAGTGTGAATATTCATAATCATAAGAATACGAGTAACGATACGAATAGTCAACAAAGAGGAAAAATAAGGCTATGAGTTCTAAACTACGGTTATGCTTATGACTCTTCTTTTTCTGTTGATACTGATGATATATATCCTGCATTACCTCAAGGACCCTAAACTATGGGAATTATGGTATGTTCCTTGTTATAGGGTAATGCAGGATTTATATCATCAACCGTATTATCGATAGCCGTCCTTAGAGCGCTCTGCGTCGTCCTCGTAGTAAAGCCCAAGCCATGAACTGGTGGGTCGAAACCCAGGGAGCAAGAAACGTCGGATTTGGGGTTTCGGGGTTTAGGGTTTTAGGGTTTAGGGCTTTAGGGGTTTGGGGTTTAGGGGTTTAGGGGTTTAGGGTTTAGGGGTTTAAGGGTTTAGGGGTTTAAGTTTAAGGTTCAGGGGTTTAGGGGTTTAGGGGGTAGGGGTTTTATGGGTTTAGGGCTGCTTTAATTTAAGGGTTGCTGGCCTTCAACCCTAAGCGGGTTTAGGGCTTGAAGGGTATATGAGGCCCTGAGCCCTCAACCTAGGTAGTATTAGGGGGACCCCTGAAAAGGGACCCCTTCTTAACCCTACGTAGTTATGGCTCTCTTAAAAAGGGACCTGATTGAGAGGGTCTTTATCCCCAAGGGTCCCCCTAATCCTAACTCCCACCTCAACCCTGAACCCTAAAGCGGATGCCTTGGAAGGCAACAGGAGGGTCGAGGTGTCTGGCTTCGGGTCAACTCGACGTCTTAACACGCCTGTACGATGTTGGGTCTGTTCGGGATGTGTGGTTAGCGCACAGGTCTCGGGGTGTGGAGTGTATAGGGTTTAGGGTTTTAGGATGTTTTAGGATGTTTAAGCCTGGAGGGAGTGTTAGGACGGTTAGGAGGGAGCTACGCGGCAGGATAAAGCAAGCTGCTTTGCAGCAGGTGGGCACTTTGTTCACGAGTATGAACGAGTTGGCTGTGCACGCAGATCCCAATTCCGTTGCCTTCCCGATGCTTGTCTCACATGGAGGTTGTCATAGTCTTAGTGTGGTCCCAGGGTTATGCTACTTGAATTGGTGTTTCAGACACTTCGGGGCCTAACTTAAATTCAAAAATGGCTGTTTTCGCTCATAGACAGGTGAGGACTGGTTGTGATTCAGGAGTGGGGTTCGGGGTTTAGACCTACACCTCAAAGCGTTGGCAAAGTCTTGGACCTACGCTCTTTTCCTGAACAAGGACACAGCCTCTACCCACCCATCCCGAAACCCTCAAACCCTAAGCCCCTCAACCACTAGACCTCGACCCTCAAACCCTGAAGCCCTAAATCCCTGAACCCCAAACCCTAAGCAGCAAGGTGGTGAATGCCCCAAACTCCCGGTCCCTCAACCAAGCCTCAGCCTGATAGGCATTCTAATAGCAAGCACAGCTGCTAGAGGAAAAGGGGCGAAAAAAAACAAAACTAAGCAGAATTCTGGAGCCTTTGGCACGTCTTCAAGACTCTTTGCGAAACCCGTATCGAACCCCTTATTGTGGAGCCCTTTTTTCAGAGAAGCGCTTAGGGAACCGTTATCGAACCCCTGGGGATCCCGAAAAACTTAGGCAAAACACATCAGCATTTTTTGAACAAAGCCTCCAACGAAAACCTGAAGACCCCTAAACCCTATAAACCCGAGAAGCCCTATAAACCCCATAAGCCCCAAACCCTAAACCCTCAACCCTAAACCCTAAACGTACTAAGAGGTATTCGACGTATTCTTTGCCGTTGGAGTTGGCCAGGGACGTCGGTGGATGGGACCCGGAGCGACTCGTCAAGCCGGTTGCTACTGTTGATGATAGACAAGGACCCTAAACTATGGGTGTGGGTTTAGGGTTCAGGGTTTTGGGCCTACGTAATTACCAATACTACGGTTGATAATAGAAATCCTGCATTACCCATATAACAAGGAATATACCATAATTCCCATAGCTTAGGGTTGTTAAGGTAATGCAGGATTTATATCATCAACAGTAGGTCCTTGAAAGGCTTTCTTTTGCTCGGTTCCCCAGTAGTGCCCTTTTGCCCTTTTTATTTGGGGGGGTCTCCTTACTAAAGCCGATTATGTATTAGGGAAAAGGGTACCCTTATTATTGAGGGGTTGCTGGGGAATCTACAGGGTTTAGGTTGCTTTTCGGGTTACATGTGGAGAGCTTTGGGGTGTTAGGCTTCGGGTTTTCGGCACCTAACAAGGCTCGAATCGGATTTGATTTCGGGATACCACTAGGTGTTTGGGGCTTTAGTGGAACGATCTTAGGAGAGCATCGGGGCTGGCATCTTCCAAATAGCATGCGCTTTGTGTTTTTGCG